TAATTAATTTCGGAAAAAAATTAATAGTGTAGAACCTATCCATGATATTGCTACCATTTTTGAAACATATATTTATTTAACTGCCAGTCACCATTTGCAATATAAACTTTTTATACAAAGTTACTATAAGTACGTATTTGGCTAGTAACAGCATAGAGTGGGGGACAGGAAAAAGTTTTGTAAATCACAAACCCTTTAAAACGCTGTAACTAAGGAAGAAAAATGTACGCGCGGAAATATTATCAATTTACAGGCGGTAAATATGCTGTAAATTATGCTATGCAGTAAATTTATGTATTTGGGTACTTTCAATTGCAATTCAAGATGTAAGATTAGTTAATAATTATGATTAGATCTAGAAATGCAGTGGGTCATTTGGAAATGTAATGTTTGGTTGAAATAAAATGTCGTAAATGGTAAAAAAACTAAAACTGTAGGTTCCCTAAACTTGCTGTAAGTAAACGAGTGTAAAAATCACACGCCGCAGAAATGCTGTAAGTAGCGTTAAGTTTTTAAATGGGAAGAAGTAAGTATTTGTAAAGAAAAAAATGCAGTTTTTCTTTGCTGTAAGTACAAATTGTCTAAAATGACTGGATTTTGGTCTACATACAGCATTTAATCTTACTTAAAAAAATATAAGTACGGGCGTTTTCAACCGCGTATGTAATTTTTTTATCGTAGAGGCACAGACCCGGGACATTCGATGCGGTTTTTTTCTGATTCTAATGGCATAAAAAGTCACTTTAGGTATTTTTCTACTTACAGCAAAAGCTAGTGATATTCCTTCCCTTATTACGTAATCTATAGCAAACAATGGCACAAAGTTATCTTCTGTCGTATTTTATAGAAAACGGAATGAATATATTTTGTATGAAGCATGATGAACACAATGACTAAATAAACACATGGCCCCAACGCATTGCCTATCCAATACCAGTAACTCTTAAAAAGATCCCACACAAAAGAGTTGTAAGACCCTTTAAAACATATTGAGATATTTTTTAAAGTTGTCGTGGGAGCAGAGCGTTTCGTTTGATGCGCCGACGCATGCGGCACCGCTAAGACAATTTTTTATTACTACCTGCGCTTTATAAAATCAAGAGTTTATAGATCTTACCGTGATTCATCAAAGCCACCGCGCATGTGCAAAGGTGAAATGGGTAAGGCGTTTGCGAAAGAATTTAATTTGTATAAGTAATAGTGTAAATTTACCGTGTTTTCTATCTCGGTAACATAGAATACTTGCCGTATGCCCAAGATGTTACGGGATATTAAGTAATTTTATATCTCCTGTGACTTTCTCTCTTTATTAGCAAGGGCTTTGTGTAAACAAATCACAGATTTATTTCGTGTTATCATTTAATTTACAAAACACAATGTAATATTTATAAATCCATTCTTAGTAAGTTTATGGTTTTATTACATATTAGATATATGTGTATATTTTGAGTATTTAAACACGATCGCTAATACGCAGAAATCGTTCAACCTTTTGATGCACTCTAAAACAAGACAAATCAGGCTATAATGCTACACATTTTTTACCGATACCTAACACAAAAAGGCCAGTGGTGTTATTAATCAAAATATCTATAAAATTAAGTCCGCATTTGAATGATTCTACCTGCGCCCTTTGTGTGGTCCGTTTTCTAAGATTTTTAAGAAACAATAAAATTATTATTATTTAGTTTAATAATTTAATAAACGCATATCTTGGACAGATCCGCGCTGGACAAAAACAAAGAAGTGCTTGTAACGGTTAAGAAATGGAAACTTGAATATTTTGGACACGTCTTACGTAACACTTAAAAATACCAGCTCCTTCAACTAATCATTTAATGCAAGTTGGCAAGTACAAGGATATCAGACCAGAGACGCGAGTTTTGGTTGAAGAATGTTCGGCAATGGCTTGGTTAAAAGCATCAAGTTCAGAAGCGTGTCATACAAAACTAAAGTTGCGATGATGATCGCGAACCTTTGGAAGAAGATGGCACTATAAGAATAAACAAAAATATAGATAAATAAAAAAATAATTTTGTTATCTGATAAGAAACTTTAATCAAAACCAAATCAAGATGAAAGTATTTTGATTATATTTTCGGATATTATTGTTTCGTGTATTTAGAATTTAATTGTATTACTTATTTGAAACGGACTTTATTATATATAGGTACTACTATATTTTACGCTTAATTTTGAAGAATATTGAGATTGATGAATGTTTAAATAACTGTGTGACTAATTGTGTCTTAATAGTATGTAGACCAAACCCCTAATAATGAGCAGTTTGTATGACATTTCGCCTATCACGTATTTTCAATGCAAAAGGAGTACGTATACGTTTTGGCATTTCTTTCCTTTTTAAGAGTGTTATAATAAAGCATTGCTTTGTTGACAAGAGAACGAAGATCTTATAGGTTCAATTTTTGTTGGTTAGATCATCCAGATCAGTCTACAGACGGAGGAGCTATGAACGCAAAAATACACATAGAATTACAAACCTATCGAAGTTTAAAAGAGGTTCCAAGCGCTATTTGTGTTAATAGGACTTAAAGTGGGACAAAATACAACAGATAAAGACAAAACAAATGAGATCTGGTTCGAGGTATGAACAAGAATGTGGCGGCTATATTTAGCACGATTCTTCATTTCGAATGCGGCTCACGAGGCAGGACGTTGATAAGATATTTGCATAACCCTATGAGCTAAGTAAACGGAGATGATATTGCCGCGTTAAATACTGTAAGGTTTTCCCCAATAATTGATAGATATAATGTGTAAAAACGAATGTAGTGACGCTCAGGGAAAATACTGTGTGATTATTATAAAACGATATGATTGAATAGGCAATAAGTAAGTGTATGAGGGACTTGTGAGAGCGATTATTGCCCGGGTAGGGGTGTGACACTCAAACCAAAGATTGTGGGTTTTAAGGAATATAATTTATGAATTTAGGTAACACAATGTACACTTATGAACGTCAAAAAGAAATACATATTAAATGCTTCTAATTTTACATTTACTGCCAGTTCGCAAATCAAGGGCGTAGAACGGAAGAGAAAAACTGGTAATAATGTTGTGTGTTGTGCATGTTCCACATGACATCTTATTCTGGCCGTTTGCACCAATGGGTTTTTCTTTGCTCGAACGGGAAATCGACTGTGGTAGAAAACTCTGATCCCCTTTTCTACAAAAAAATATCAATAAAATAGATACAGTTATCTGAAGCATATTTTTGGGACAGGGATCAAACGAGCAGGGTCACTTTGAATAAAGTGATAACCGCCGCCTATGGACACCTGCAACGTCGGGATTTAGCGGGTGTGTTGCCGATCTTTTAGGGAATGGTTGGCCTTTTCCTGAAGGCCCAAAGTGGTATCGGTTTGGACTACTTATAGTGGCGTATTACTCAATAATACGCCACTTAAACAAACGTTATTTAGCTACTTTTATTGTTATGTACCTAAGTAGTTTTATGGCGACAATGAGGAAAGTGAAATTTCGAAGCCAAATGCATTATCGATTACGCTACAAAGATAAAATTCTCAAAACAGTATTAGGATAATTACGCCGCAACCAGCGAGTACTCGATTCATTTTAAATATGGCGGGTGTGAACAAACCGTTCAGCAAATGATATCATAGCACTACCAGCCGATTATGTAGTAATCAAACTTGCTACTAATACAACATTTCACGAGTCCCAACTATCAACAATATCAAATACAAACAATCCATTGCTCGTTTATGCAGGAATGTTAAAACGATATAGCAAATAGAACCAGCGTTGTATATTGCGTAATGAAAATGTGTTAATACAAATTGATTTTCAGTGAATGTTATTGAAGGTTCGCGGCGGAACGATAATTGTTATCTAAATATTTACCGTTCCGTGAATACATTACAGTTGATTTCGTGTGATCTGAAACATTTTTAAGACATTTTTATATTAATTAGGCGGTAAGAGTAAAGTATTATTAGCAAAATATACGGTTTATTCCCCTATAAACAGTACGTATAGAGGGGAATCTCTATATAATTTCTAGGCACAATTTTATGTAGACATATTGGTATTTATATGTTAGGAAAATAAGAAAATATTTTGGTAGACCTTCTGTCTACCTGATCATCTTGGCTTTAAAGATGATAAATTTAAAAAATATATTTATGCGTTGCCATTGAGAAGTGAGAGGTAAGAGAATTTAACATAATATAATAATAATAATAAAAACTTTATTTATGACAAAAGGGTTGTGACAGAATTCATATATCGCTAGTCCCAGGAAGACCCTGTGTTGTGGGTGACTAGAAAACAATTATTACGTGTTTAAACAGCAGTTAAAAAAAAATTTAGTGTTACAAATTAAGAATGAGTGAATGTGTGAATGGGTGCGTATGCGCATTGCGTATGTATTTGAGAGTGTAGCTGAAAGTTGTTATGATCGTGCACTGTGTCTGTGTTAGTTTTTGAATTAAAATATTTATTTTTTTATGTTACAGGAGACTCATCTGATGTTAAGTGATACTGCCGCCCATGGACACTCTCAATTCCAGAGGGCTCGCGAGTGCGAAGCCGGCCTTTTAATAATTGGTACACTCTTTTCTTGCAGGAACCTAAGTCGAATTGGTTCGGAAATACTTCAGTGGGCAGCTGGCACATAGTGGTGGTGCGCGGCAAAAACTGCCTCAAAAAACGCTCAATTTTGGAACGACGGACGTCGAGCTGATACGGGTGGAATTTCGTATTCTGCCTGGACGTCAGATGATTAAAAATTATCCTCATCCGATTCCTAATAAATTATGACGTTCAAAGCAATAGAAGGAAACTGCAACATGACGTCAGTTTCCTCAAAGATTACGTATACTTAGCATTTAACAATGACTCAATGCTTTGTTAACAGATTTTTGTCAAACTATTAATTTTGAATACAATGAATTTTAAAAATACGACTAATATATAAACTGTTTTTATAAATAAATAATTCCTAATTTAGGCTGAAAATGGTAATGAACAAAAAATACTGGTTTTATTGTGAAAAAGCGTGGGGCGCTCTGTGCCATATTTTTCGTCAAATATCGAGCAACCACGCTTTTCCAATATTTTTTTTTCATTACCATTTTCAGCCTAAATTAGGAATTATTTTTCACTTTTTAGTTTAATGTGCTTTAAAAGCGTGTTTTTTAGTTTTTTTTAATTATATTTATTTTTTAGTTAATTTTTTTTTATTTTTTTATTTTTTTTTTCGGATTATTGCATTGTCATCGATCTTTGCCAGGTGCGCTAAGTTTGAATTAAATCTGTCCGTTAAAAGTGGGTCAAAATCGAGTCCGAAGGAGTCGGTTACATACATACATACATACATACAGGTGAAGCTAATATAAAGCGTGTAAAATAGTTACACAGTATAGGTATATGTGTAGTTTTATCACATGTGCGTAAAATTGTGTTTTATACTTAATTTTTTCAAAACTTTCGATTTGTTTTATAAGATTAACTTTTTTACATATGCCTCTATCAATGTTTTGTCATGTTTATTTGATTGCAATGCAATGCATGAGCGATAAGGACAAAATATTGAATAACAGAAAAAAATTTAATACCCTTTGTACATAGACATTAGACATAAAGATACATTAGTATATAAAATTGTATTCAGTGGGGCTACCCTCTATGGGTCTTGCCGCCAGAGTCGGTACTCTGTAATTTAAAAAACGATTTTTTATGGGATCTCCCTGTTGGCCCTACAGGACTTTGCCAGCTCAATTCGAGCTGTTTTGTAAAGCGTAGCTCTGGCAAAAATGAGCTTTTCCTACGACTAGTAGAAGTGCGTCTCCTGCAAGAACTGGACCTCGGTTTGGGCCGTCGTCAATCTCCTGGCAGGACGGAAGCTCCTAGTGAGATCCAAGAACGAAGTAAGGGACCTCGCCTTCACGTTGAAGGCGGTCTTTTGCTCTAGTCTGAAGCTAATAGTGATACTGATCCCGACGTGTTTATCCGTAGCACTGATGTAGCAACCCCGATCGTGCGATACAAAAACTGATTATTTATATTATAACAATATTTATTACCCGTTGATGTTTGGGATCGCTATCGCTATTGGGAATAACAGAGTTCCGGTGAAAATTTAAGCATCTATTTTATCCTTATGTACTTTGGAAGGGAATAAATGAGTATCAGAATTGAAGAAAAATCTCTTTGTTATTAGTTCAAATTCACAACAATTGTTACAATCAATCAAAGCGAAGATCATAATGCAAAAGCTGCACATGTGCAACGAGTCTAAATGAGATCATGGTTAATGCAAATTATTTTTGTAATTATCCCACCGAGTATGAAAATAGGTATACACTACCCAAGCAATTAAATATTGCCTTGATCTACATATTGAAAGATGAAACACATTACAGTCTTAATCTTTACAGAACAAAACTTTTCGGCAAAAATCTAGCCAAGATTTAATTTTATTAAAGTTTTGTCTGTCAAAAAAAAAGTCAAAATCATTTATTTATATAGGTAACACATATGAACGTCTAAAAAGAAATATACATCAAATGCTTCTAATTTTACAGTTACTGCCAATTTTCAAATCAAGGGCGTAGAACTGAAGAGAAGAACTGACAATAAACTCTCCGCCACACTTTTTAATCGCCAATTTTTTTGTTTTACACAACGTTTGTAAGGAGCTGCAACCGTTACACCATGTTCCACATGACATCTTAAGTAATGAATATCAATAAAATAAATTAAAAATTAGCATTTGTCCTCTATCAACAGGAGGCATGGTGAAATAGGAGCACACATTACATTCTCGTGGGAACAACACGTAAATACATAGTCGAAATAACTAACATCACCGCATACACGAATTCAAGTACGACCAGTCACCACAAGTAGCACCCATTCACGAGTATGACGCATGGCCAGCCATCGGATTGCTCTTCTGTGCCATCAACTAAATCTGTTTTATTCAGGATAACGAAATGTATTAGCTAGATACAGCGGCGAGTCTCGCCAATTAAAACGATGACAATTTTAATTGAAACCCTCGCCATATTTTAGAGAGACCACCCGACGCATGGACGCCTGTCTAGAACTTTTAGGATTTCAGAAGAGGTATCAAATTCAAAACGGTTTTCAGGGTGAGATTCAGAAACGAGACTAAGCGTAAACTGTGACTTCCGTATGTCAAAATCAGTGTACAGTGTACAGGAGTCACTCTAAGCGCTAAGGCTCGGCTCTGAATCTGCAAGGCGGTCTACCCTGCGGCATTTTACGGTAATAGTTATATAAACTCTCTAAAGAACGCTCAAAATCTCTGGTTTAAACGAGCATTCTTTTCTCGGATATTTCAATGCCTTCCTGCTTGTGGTCTTAGGTTCTTGGCATTAGTGGATCGCACCTGTCGTGAAGTCCAATTGGTCTTTGTTCAACCCGAAAATCCTGGGCTTTTTTTGAAAGATATAAGGGGGCAAGCCTATGGGACAGTCACAAAATGCAACTACTGCCCGTAGGAGTGGAGTAGGAGTATGCCTTTTTGATTACTTGGATGACTTATCTTCTAGGGAAGAGTTGATTCCCCAGCTCGGTAATTCTCAAAGGCTATGTGAAACTGGACCCGCTCCTTCTGCTACTTAGCAGACTACGTTATCTAGAATTCGAATCAAACTCTGCTAGCGCAAGATCCAACGTGATTCTTGGCCTCTGAAACAAGAGAACATCAAGTTCCACGACCTCGTGATATTGCTTTCCAATCAACCTTTATTCCCGGCCAATTTATCATCCAGTCGTTCTCCAATCGGGTTACTCGTATATGCTTCCTAAACACTCCTTCGTGTCAATCAATAAACGTAACAAAAACCGTAAAGTATTCGTTGTGTGAAGAATTAATCTTTGCATGTGTTGACGTCTACAAAAATCACAACACGTGCCAAATCCGTCACGTGTAGTTAGCATATGCTATATTGAGTAAAATCGTTTTATTGTTCAATTATAACAACCTAACTACAGTTATAGCGATGTGGTTTTTACACGTTCTGTATTTAAAATGAAAAAGTATTAGGTTATATAGGTTCAAAATTTGTCAACTCTGGAACTTAATATATTTTTATCCTCTTCAAATAGCATTAATTATTGAGACGTTTTACAAGGTAATAAAAAATGTTTATATGGAGTCCTATTGAATTTTATAATAAATTTATTTCTTAAATAAGTATTTTACGAAAAACCACCACTTCTGCGTTTTCATCGATCCAACAAAAGTAGTATCAATGATAATATTACCTAAGCCTCGGTGTAGAACTTGCCTTCAAAAACAGCTACTTTTATCAACTAAATTATCCTCAAAAGGATCCTCATCTTTACCTCCGAATTCAGTGTTTCGGCCTTTTACCTTATCCTATGACCTCATGTGACGGATGTTACATATTTTCTTAAAAACACGCCGATTTCACATTTTCCTTTGTTTTGAGTACCTTGACACGGTCGAATGGTTTAAGATATCCTTTTTTATCCGTAATGGATAAAGGCAAAGGACTGTACCCAGCCAAGTCAAAAATATTTATGATTCTTTTATCATTTATATTTCTTATTCGAATTTCGAAATTTCATAATATTTCGAATCTCAATCGTATAATTCTAACAATGCCATAGTATATAGTTAGTGGTTAGTCAAAGACAAGATTGTCGCAATAATTTGCATTATGGGTTTATCCATTAATACAATCAATACCTTACAATTAAAACTCAAACAGATAAAAATGGGAAGAAAACATTTTAGAAACGTTAGTCAAGTTAGCAACACATTATGTTGCTCAATACAGAACACTTGAAGATACGGAACAGATAACGAATGTCGAAGCCATATTGCAAAATATAGTTGTAATATATTATTGCAAAATATTTCACACGTTTTCTTAATTATACGCTGATCCATTTAATACAAATTTATAAAAAAAAATATGGGGGAATTAATTAACTATTAATATAAATTTAATCTGTGAAAATTTGAATACTTGACAGATGACATCTATTCGCAAGGTATGTGCAGTGTCGTATGCAAGGCCTTGTCGTAAATGCATATATGCTTCTGAAAAGGCTTAACGCGCTTTTTATTTTCTTGTCTGTCAATAATTCCGAAATTCGAAGGTTGCAGTGAGGTCACCTACATTGGTCGGTCATGGTCGCTGAAGAGCCGCGAGTTATTCGCGCCTCTCAAATATGGCATTAAGGTCATCGACCGGTAGATATTCCCAATCTATGACGTACTTATTTTTATTTGTTTAACGTAAACATTTATTGTTTCGAGACTTCATCACTAGTTAAAAAGTAGAATTTTCAACTCCAGAAAATAAGTTGTTTAAGAATATATTTAATATGAATTTAAAAAGCGTTAATTCGAATTAACTGTAGTGTAAGGATTGACAGACCTCGTACGTTTCTGAATGAAAAATGTCAAAAAATTTATTGGAGGAAGCCAGGAATAGAAGGCATATGGAAGGTCTCTGTTCACCCCTTTGGAAAACCGGAATGATTTATAAAATTAATATTAATGTAAAAGTAAAAAATGCGAAGAACGGACTGCCCACTGAATGGAGTCGCGTGCCTCAAAGCCTGCAAATCGAAGGCTCTACCCACAAAAAAGCCTCAGACGAGGTGTAAATGTCGTAATAAGTCTAAGAGAATTCTTGCTTGTTTATCTTCATTATATCATTGGTTATACACTACGCGACTGAGGTTCAACAAACATCCTCTTAACAAACAAATCGAAACAAGTACAAAATATCATAACTCGCGTAATGATTCATCTTCAAGAATCCAATAACGTATGGGAATATTACTTAGAAATCATGATATCATTATGAATTACGACAAACTTGTATTTAGTATATCAATTCAATGGCGCTACAACCCTATATAAGCCTTTGATTTCTTCGTCAGTTATCAGTCTCTAATACCAAAATTTTTGGGTTATGTTTTCCTAATTACATTTCCTACGAGTAACAGGAAAAAGTACGAGTAGAGGAACGAGTACGAGTATTAGGAACGAGTACGAGTATGAGGTGTGAGCAAGTATGATGCACGTAGAAAGTAAATGATACAATACATTCAACGCGAAATGCGAAAAGTAAAGTAAAAAAATGCCTTTTAATTCGATTGTCGAATATAATAATTAGTACAAAGAAGAGATCCTAAGTCACTATTATAAATTCCATCCTTTGCACTTTGGTAGGTACTGGGCCAGAACAAAAAAAATAATATGGCCGTTGAAGCAGCGATTAGTACAGCTTTTTATTCAAATAAGAAATTTAGTGTCAAAGACCGATAGATCTAATTAGTGAGCAAAAAGGCGCCACATTGATGTAGGCGTGAAAAATAGATGCGTCCAACATATATAGGACTGCAAGATGCTGCTGTGAACAGGATACTTGTTGGGATACAGCATAGATCAGGGGTCAACTAAACTGGTCGCAGCTCGCGTAGGTGGCTCAGACAGCGGTCACGGTCGGCTCGGCTAGAAATGACCACTGTGTACATGAACAATATTACTATATATGTATTTTGTTTATAATGGTTAATGGCTGTTGTGGGCTGTGTTGATAGTTTCATTTTTCCATTCTACTATTATGAGTACTATAATAATATGACACATACTAATTAAAATTTCTGTGAATACTAAAAATGTTATTTAAAATTACAAGATGTTAATTTATGTAAATGACCGAGTAATGATTTGTGTAAAAATGTATTAGACAATGAAAGAATGAACTCATCAATGGTATGCACTAGATATAAGAAAGTTCCCACGCGGCGAGTCGACCGCTCCCACACTGTTTAATACTGATTGATAATAACGGCTTTTATTCCAATTGTTTTGACATTTACTTCGATAATTATTCCCGTATCTACTAAAACAATAATATTATTATGTTTCTTATTTGGCAAACTAGTTCGCAAACA